GTCAGACTAGAGTGAAGTCACGCCTCCGCCCTCGACCTTGAAAAGGCCACCAGTGAAAGAGCCAGTAAATCGTCTAGAGGGTGGCTTGAAAATTCACAAAATGGTCCATGTTCCTCCCAGTAACAATAAGAAGAATGGTGCCCTGAGAAAGTGTCGCGTGAGTGCTAAGCACGAGGTTAGAAAAGAAACAAGTATCATGTGTGCAGGCTGTGGTGTGGCTCTCTGCAAACTTTCATGTTTCAATGTTTATCACACGAAGAAAAACTAATAAAGAGGTATGGAAAGGAATTTATTGCATAATATATTGTATTTTAATTAGTTCCTGAAAATTTCGTTTTTAAAAACCAATTTTTGTTGAAGTTGTTTAGGAAAAAGTAACTACATGCATTTTAGCAACATAAGGTTTAAAGGGCCTGCCAGGACAGGGGTGGGATTTAAATACCCTTCGCGCCAGTCAAAGAGGTAATAATGATATCTAAAGGGTTTAGCAGAGGAATGGGTTGTCCTAACTTAAAAAGAAAAAGAAACACTTTACAGTTTTCTCTATTTTGCCAAATAACACAGGTCCCCTATGACTGAGTACTGTTGGGGCATTCTGTACTCAACAGGGAGGCCTGCATGAGCAAGACATATTACATGCGTGTGACAGTTATGGATTACATACATACTTTACTCAGACCACTTGAAGAAAAGAGAGAGATAAGTGTATAAGTGCTAGGTGATTTCCAATAGTATATAGTATGTTGCCCAAGAACAAGTCATCCTAATAAACCCTTTGTTTTGTAATAGGTGATGAATTTCTTCTCAATGTTGCCTCTGCCTCATGGAGAAACAGTTCATATTTACATTTAGAATTATTACTATGATGACTACAATGCACAGATGGAAACAAGACATGAAAACGGAACTAGAGAACTGCCTGTTGCCATGTCAACCAACCTGAATGTCAGGGCTCATCACCAGAAGAGTTTTGTACCCCTTGGTCATCCCTGCCTTGGGCAGTGGCAGAATGCCAGTTCTGGAGTGCGGTGCAATACCATTCTTTCCAAATATTTTTCTCAATCTGCTGGTATTCTTGTATCCCTTCAAGCATATGTGCACAATTTCTTTGGTGATCTAATGCAGTGAAGCTCATGGTAGCCTCAAACATATGCACTTCAGCTGTGTCTAGCCACTACAATCCTACACACACTGGAGTACACAGCAGGTAAACCTCAGTTGATATTCATTCAAAATCTGAGAGCACAATGTGTTCTGTATGGGAAAGCAACAGGGATACTCTGCACTGCTTATGCAACGATTTCTGCAGAGAACGGAAAAATCTATAACACACATTCTAGAAATATGGACACTCCATACTACTTAACCTTTAAAGTATGGACTTTTAAATTATTCAGAGCTTGCTGCAGCCGGAATTTAAATAGTCCAAAGTCTTTAAAGTTGCAGACGTTCAGANCTTCAGATATGGTGATTATGTGAAAAATAATCACACTATATACAATAATCCTCTGTTCAGACTGTACACAAGTATGAACTGCGTCACTTCACACTTTATAACAACTCCATTCAGTGCTCACACTCTGACGGCATGCGCCACTGGTCGAAGCAGTCCTTGACACACAGACCAACATCATACTTTTTATAATAGAAGAGTGTGCTCCTGGTTTTCTTATTTAGCGAACACACACGACGTGTCTGTTTCCTTTCGGATGACCAGTGTTGTGAATGTTTCACCTCTAGTTGACTAGATGAACTTGGCCTCCCCTGAGAAACGCCATTGACCGTGATATTTGCCTCATGCGACTGTACAATCAAATCTCGCACTAGAATTTTGCAGAATGTTTTATGTGTCATTTCTGCACCACATGACTTGTGCAATAAATAGGCACTGAGAACAGTCATGTCTAGAAGTTGGAAAAACCATTTCTTTGCCAATGTCCATGTCCTCCGGTCAATTCCATAACTATTTACCATCCTGTCAGATTTATCCACAAAGCCCATATGTGCATTGTTGTCTTCAATGGCTTTATACCTTTACTGAGACACAAACTAAAAATGTTTTATAAATAAATAACTGATAATCCGACACTGACTTTCTGACTGATAATTCGCTACTGAAAGCAAATAAATGCGTGGAAAACGACCAATTTCCTTGCAAGCCCAAGTAGCACAAATCTGTATGCTCAGATGAATATTTACTTTTCATACCAACCGAGCGATCGCCGCTTCTTGGAGAAGTTTAGTTACAACTTATGCGGATAGAGGGTGTTGCGTGGTCAGCGTAACAAATCCACACAGCCTTTAATTTCGGTTTACTAGGCTGGAGCCGCTATTTCCTTGAAATAGCTCCTCAATTATCATTACGAGGCTGAGTGAACCCCGTTCCAGGCCCACCACTTCTCTGAAAAAATCTGGTATCGCCAGGAATCGAACCCAGACCTTTGGATCTGTAGCCAGGAATGCTAACAACTAGACCACAGAGGCGGTCCAAGATCAAACTACCAGCACTCCCAAAGCTTGCACATGTACTGCTTGTACTGCATTCGATAAATCTATCATTCAGCCACAGTGGAGTGTTACTTGCTGTTAGATATATTTAACATTTGTACCTTAGAGGATAATACATTGCTGTATTTGAGGTGACCCTCTGTACCAAATTATTTTCACAAATAACATAGGAATTGACACCTCCCAGTGTGCATGCATTGATGTGCCCACTCTGTAAACCAAGAAACATATTAAAATTATCATATGACAACATCCATCCCCAACAGGGACTGGCAAAGCAATTCTGCTGTAATGACCAGATCTTGTTCCCTCAATGTCTTCAAGGCATTGTGCTTAATTAATTAAGCAAAGGGACAACTTTACCTTTACCGACTGCATACATGTTGATGTGCCTTCAAATGACATTTCAAAATAAATGATTTATTACACATATCACAGGAAAATGGCCGCTCGCCACTATGTATGCGTTTGTGTACATTCAGGGCACTGCTAGTGGTATATGAATTAGTACACATATCACAGGAAAATAACCGCTCTCCACTATGTTTGCGTAGATGTACCTTAAGCTGAAACTTAGACACACATGACTCATTACACATATCACAGGAGAATGGCCGCTCCTCACTATGTATGCGTTTATGTACCGTCAGCACATTGTTAGTGGCAAATGACTTACTACACACAGCACAGGAAAATGGCCGTTCCCCAGTATGTATGCGTTGGTGTACCTTCAGGGCACTGATAGTGGTATATGACTTATTACACATATCACAGGAAAATGGCCGCTCCTCACTATGTATGCGTTTATGCACTGCCAGCGTACTGCTAGTGCTAAATGACTTATTACACACTGCACAGGAGAATGGCCGCGCCCCACTATGTATGGGCTGATGAGCCTTCAAAAAATTGAGCCTACTGAATGTTTTATTACAAACATCACAAGAATATGGCCGCTCCCCACTATGTACGCGTTGATGTTCCTTCAAACAATCCTGCCTACCGAATGTTTTATTACACATATCACAGGAAAATGGCCGCTCATCACTATGTATGCGTTTATGCATTGCCAATGCACTGCTAGTGGTATATGACTTATTACACACTGCACAGGAGAATGCCCGCTTCCCACTATGTATGGGCTGATGAGCCTTCAAACAACAGCGCCTAATGAATGATTTATTACAAACATCACAGGAAAATGCCCGCTTCCCACTATGTATGGGCTGATGAGCCTTCAAAAAATTGAGCCTACTGAATGTTTTATTACAAACATCACAAGAATATGGCCGCTCCCCACTATGTACGCGTTGATGTTCCTTCAAATAATCCCGCCTACTGAATGATTTATTACAAACATCACAAGAAAATGATCGGGCTGCAGCATGTTTATGCAGATGTCTCTTCAGACGACTACTACGGGTGAATGACTTATTATCAACATCACAGGGAAATGGACACTCACTTTGTATGAATTGATGGTGATTCAGCACACTCTGCAAAAGAGACAAACATTAGAAGAAATCCAACTGGAAGAGGGGATTTCCTCAGACACTCCATCAAAATACTAGGACAGTATATAGATTATGACACAACTGGTTCCATGCAAATCCTTTCAAATCATCATTCATCACTGGCAGGGAGTGCAGTGGACATTTCTTGCTAAGGATGTGGACCATTAATAAACTCTTGTAAACATGTTAACAAATTTTTGCCTCCCATATACAGTAAGGACACCAAAGCCAATTATCACTGCACTGGCAAGGGCCAAGAGACATTTGGCAAGGGGACAGGTGGGCAATCACAGGGTTCCAGGATGAACTAATCATCTACTTTCCTCAGATACAATACAGCATGCTTGGATAACAATGCAACCAACAACTGTTCTATTGTTGCATGTGGACTGCCTGTGATGGGAACATGTTTACTAAGTCACTGCCTATGAAGGCAATGATGGAGGGATACACATGCAGACATACAGCTAAAGTACGAGTAGGCTAACAACAGACGAAATGTTCAGGAAAGTGTACTCATATTTCCTGTGAATGTGGAATTATATGCAGAGGACAACAGAAGTGTTACAAGATTACACACTTGTCTAGCAATAGCCAATTCCTTGTTGCTTCTCTGACGCACCATTCCTGCTTTCAGGCCTCATGTCACATCTCACATATATCTTTGTTTGGTACTGTACCAGCCATCTCCTCTGGCTCCACTATTCCGGGTTTCATGAGTGATGGAATGAAGCTCACTAATACAAATTATATACCACCGAGAATATATACACAAACACCTTTACCATAACCCATCAAGAGAACAAAAATACAGAGCTATGTATATCTTTATTCCATGTCACCATAAAGAAGAATGGCTGACAGACACTGGCTAGGAACAAAATACTTCTCCTACATCTGCAGAGGGATCAACTGGAAGATGAACCGTGAGTCAACTAGGAATTAGTGGTGGGGCTATCCCTGTGAGTACATAAGACAGGCAGCTGCAGTTGCCTGGCTATCAGCTGGGAAAGAGAACAAGGAACTCACCGCATGTTCAGCCTTTATTCCTGGAAATGATATCGACAATGGATCCTCCACCTCTTCAACATCCGAGACCTCCTCATCTTTTATACTGATGGCCTGAAATGCACCATGAGAAGTTGTAGGACATGTGTCAGTATATGAACCTGGGACATCTTCGTGTGGATGTGGACAGTCCTGCAAAACCAGCAAACCCATATCAGCCATGGCTGTGCGCTCTCATTACATGGAACAGCATACACTTTCATTACTATGGTCACTGTGCAGTGCATCACTCTCATGACGGCTGCTCTGTATAGGTTCTCTGCCTGGTAACTTTGAAAACTGTTAGTAATTAACAACTGCATGGCTCAGACTTCTGTATGCACAGCTAATGCTCACTCATGCGATATAGAAACTGCCTGCCTTCTGTGGACACATGGAAAGTGATTACCATATTCAAAATGGCCCATCACTGGTTGCTATTCTGACCAAAGACTTAAGTCCATGCTTTTCATCTTTAAAATCTACTCTCAATACTGCCTTCCATATATATGTATAGATTTTCGAAGTGGCCCTTCCCTTTAGGATTTCCAACAAAAACACTGTACTTGTGCCTCATATCTCACATGAATTCTAAATGATCTGCCCATCTCATACTCATTGATGTTAGGATTCTAATACCTGCTAAATTGTTCCACTGGCACAACTTCTCAAAATTCAGTGCTCTCCAGCCTCCAGTTACTATTTCTCTCTTAGACTAAATACTCGCCTCAGTATCCTGTTCTACACCACCTCAACGTATATTCTTTCTTCTCTTAAAGTGAGAAACCAATTTCCATACCTACACACACATAACAGCAAGTACAACAGAGGTTTGCCTATATTTAGACCTCATGTACTCCAACAGCAGATGGCAACACAAAGGATTCTGAACTGAATAGTAGGAAGCATTTCCCACAATTTAATCCTTTCTACACAATGAAACCTCCATTTTGCAACAGATGGCATAAAATAAGTGTAACATCAAAGAAAATGTAAAGATAAAGGAAATAAGAATGATATGATATAAAGAAAATTTGGGTTTCTTTATATCATAACTAGCTGTACCCGGCCATGCGTTGCTGTGGCTCAGTCTGGTACATATTTGAGCCATTCTTTGCCCAGTTTGATTTGCAATTACTCGTCGCACTGCTTCCACTCCACGAGTACAATGACCTAAGTTTGATCTCCTGCGAGGCATTATTTGGATGAACTAAAGCGATCGATTGCACTGAAGAAGAAGAAAGAAAGTTATAAAAAACATATAAAATTGCAAAACATTAAAAAAGGAAAGAACATGAACTTGAAAACAAAGAAACAAAAAAAAAATACTAACGAAATATTTCAATTCAAACGCAGATCAATCGACACAGGTCAATCCCACCGCCAACTGCACTGAAAAATAAGGAGAACAGTTAAGAAAACGAAATGAAAAACAATGAAAAATAAACTACACTCACGAATTGAACGCTATGGTAAACGACACAGCCCAAATCCAACGCAATGTCACACGAAATAACTAAATCAAAATGGCCAACTGTTAGGGATACAGACTCACTTCTTCGGCGGATATTCCAGACTGATTGGGCGAATGAATTCAACCCCTTTAATACCCTCGGCCACTGCTATGCAAATGAGCCCTTGTTATAACCACGGAAACGCTGCTTTGTTGATTCCGCAATTCCTACGCAACAACCCATTGTTATTGCGTTGTCTCTGTGGGAACGCTCTGTGTATTCGTCGTAACCATGGAGATTCGATACAGTATTGCTATTGTTACTTCCTATGCAACGGTCTGTTCTCGCGTTTCCATAGGGGTGACTCTTCTGAATTCCAAATTCCAATTCTGTTTTTCAAAAGAAGCATGTTTTTACCTGTCACAGGAGTGACATCTATATAATAGGTATATAAAAACACGCATGTGTTCGAATGCAATGTTGTGTCAAAATTTCGAAGCAATTGGTGAAGAACTTTCAGAGATCTTTGAGGGCCAACAAACCAACATTTACATTTTTATTTATATAGATATTGGAAGATCATCATGCAAATATGGTTCTTGGTTTATTCTATGATGCCTTATCAACTCATGTCTTTATGTGGAACCAGTAAGATCATATCGTGATTATTCTGGATCAATGCAAAGGATGAGGAAGAAGGCAGTGGTAGTCTAAGGGTACTACCCAGCATTAGCCTGGGTAGACTGGCAAATATTGTGCACACCAAGGCAGACTATTTGTTTAAACATTCAATGAGTCCTTTTTTCAGCTTGAGTTCTCAGTCTGTGTAATTCATTTTCAACTTTGTTGCATACTATCCGTAATAATATTCTTCTCCATATCAAATCGATACATATATCTTCTGGCTTCTTCCAGTCATTTCAGTGCATTCAAGAATGTTCCACAAACTTCAAGAGCACTGTCACATGTTGTGCAGTCCATAAACTGCACTCCAAGAGGTTGTAAACTCTTTAACAGTTACATCATCTTCACTGAGTTTCACTGCACTGTCATCATTGCTGCTGACATGAACATTTGAGAAGCCAAACTTCACAAAGGAATTCTTGTTTGTAGTGGATGTTATCAGTCTCTGGGCTCCTGCTATGAAGTGCACTGCAGACAACACATACAGCTTCATCTGTGCACCTGCCCCCACCTATCATGGCTGCAGCCTTCCAAATCAACTTCTTTCTATAATGGCACTTGAAAGAACGTATGATTCTCAAATCTAAAGGCGGAAGCTGGGTGGTACAGTTAGGTGGGAGAAATTTAACTCTGATGCTGCTGAGAAATGTGTTCCTTGCATGGGCAGCACGCTGATCAATGAAAAGCGAGAATTTTGAGACTTCCAGCACATACTGTCTATTTGTGTGAGGTAATCTTAAAATATTTTCGCGGTCATCCACGAATTGGTATAAGTTTGTGTTCTGTAGACAGTCTCTTCACATTCCTGAAGCAAAATGGCCTTATTTTCCAATTGTGAGAGGTGGCAGTTTATCACTACTATGAGCATTCCATGTGAGGAGTACAGTAATCCACTGTTTAGATTACATACCATGGCAAAAATCTCCTCAAAAAGTGAAGGTTTTGATAAGTTGTAGACTGAAAAATAGGCAGGTCCCATCAGCATTATACACTCCACTTCAATTTCTTGCAGTAGTCAGTGATTTTTCCAGTCTTCTTCAGTTCATGCATCAACACACCTGCTCTTATCTGATGGTGGTACAGTGGCAGATAATTCCCCCCTTTACATGACAAGCCTTACTGAAGACACATGGTGAGCCCAAATCACTAGTAGTTCTGCGTCAGCCAACATGTAGTACTTATTTTTAGACTGAACCACTTGTGACTGCTAACAGGGAAGGATGACCATTGCCTTGTATAAGAAATTCTAAGAAGTGCATTATAAAACAGGGTAAATTCTAGCATTCATGACAAGAAGTATTATGTGCAAATCTGGGGAAAACATGAAACTGAAGAAAGGTAAAATCTGTTGAAGTTTAATGTTATTGTGGGGCACTTAGCTGGAAACATGCAAAAATGGCATAAATTCGTGAAAAATGTAAAATCCAGAAACATAAAATAAAGTTTTCACCCTATTTCTTCATGAATGCAACTTGGTTCTACAGTTCACTCAGTATCCTGTTTCATGTTAACAGCCATTATGCAGACGGACAGCAGTCCACCACAAGCAAAGTACAACAAGAGGCAATCCTCTTGAGGCCTGTCAAAGAGGACTTACAAAAAATTCCCTATTCACCAGACTGGAGAAGTTTTGTGTGAAAGACGAATATGAGAAAGAGAACAGGCAATTCAAGATGTGACTCAGATATGCCTCACAGTGGACACAGAGGGGACATACAACTCACCTCATGTTCAGCCTTTATTCCTACAACTGTCATTGGCACAGGATCCTCCCCACCCTCCATATCTGAATATTCTTCAACTTTTATGTTGACAGCCTGAACTCCACTGAGAGAAGATGATGAACAGGCCTCACTATGCGAGGCTGGTACATCCTCCTGTGAATCCAAGCAGTTCAGTAAAACCATCATACTGTTATTACACAGAACAGGATACACTTTTATTGCCATGACAATTCTGCACTGCATCTAACTGATAACTATTGTGTTCTACAGATTCTCTCCTTTACACCTACCAAAATCATCAGTCACACAGCAAAGTTCCTGTTGGTGCCTGCCTTCATGGAACCCATGCNGTTTGCTATACCTTGTCCCTGGTCCCTATCCTGGGCCAAAGAATTCCAGTCCACACCCTCTCACATTGTTTCTGTAAGAGCCACTTTATAACAGCATCCTGTCATCCATGCATACCTCTCTCAGCCAACACCTTCCTCTTCCTGATTTCTATTCAAACCTCTGTATGAATGCCCTGCCCTCAAATACATTGCCACCAAACACTCACGTGTGTACCCATTCATACAGAACTCAGAAAAAATTAATGATTCTTAATACAAGCTTGTAACAAAGTATTCAGTTCACTGACCATTTAAATGCAGGCAACAAGGCCGTAAAATTATTTTCTGAGGACAGAAGCACAGAACACTCACCTAGATTCCTTTTGAAAACATTACCTTGGCTCTCTAAGTCTGGTACTCTTCTTGCAAGATACTGCAGAATTTTTGCAAGGTTAAAACTCCATCATATATACTGGACTGTGGGGTACATCACAAAGTGGCTTATAGGAATCCTAGCGACATACAGGGTGGTCCAAATTTAAAGGTATACAACTCACCTCATGTGCAGCCTTTATTCCTACAACTGGCATTGGCACAGGATCCTCCCCACCTTCCATATCTGAGACTTCTTCAACTTTTATGTTGACAGCCTGAACTCCACTGAGAGACAATGACAAACAGGCCTCACTATGTGAGCCTGGTACTTCTTTCTGTGAATTCAAGCAGTTCTGTTAAACCACAATACCCTTATGAGTCACTGCCATAATGTTATTACACATAACAGGATACACTTTCATTGCATTCCCATTCTGCACTGCATCAAACTCATAACCGCTGCGTTCTATTGGTTTTCTTCTTTGCAACTTCCAAAAAGATTACTAACCACTGACACAATAGATGAGGTTCCCTGTTCATGCCATCCTTCCATGGAACACAATGTCTCATTACCAATCTTGCTACAGCTTGTCCTTGGTCCCTATCCTGGGTCAAACAATTCCAGTCCATGCCATCCCTCCATGTTTGTTTATGATTTGTCTTAATATTATCCTATCTTACATGCACACATCTCCCACCTTGTATCTTCTCTTCCACATTTCTCTCCAAGTACAGTGGAACCTTGCTTAACGAGCATAATTCGTTCCAGAATCTTACTCATAATGCAAAACACTCGTTAAACAAAACAATTGTTCACATATAAATTAATGTAAAATACAATAATGCGCTCCATGCTGAAAAAAATACTCAAAAAATGTTATGTATAACGTTTATTCAAAGAAAATTATATAGACATTGTTAAGGAGAGTAAATCATCTTCATCTTTTCTTCTATGTGGAATGAACCAACCTGGAATGCGAATCTGATTTGCAGAAAACAAAAAAAAAATCGAAATAATTAGTTTATTATTTATGATACAATTCTTTTTTACTAGAAAGCTGTCTAGAGACATTTGTTTTTGCCGACGCTTCAAAATTTGGTGAAAATGCAACACAGCATTATTGTTAAATAAATCTGTAGCACGCATAGCCACTGCCTTATAAGGGTGATGCTTCTCAATGTACGATCCAACAGTTTCCCATTTTTGCAAGGGTTATTAAACTTTGCACACAAAAAATCACAAATATTATGTCTCAACACAAGTTTGGAAAAATGTGTGATCCCAAGCAACACTAAGATGCTAGTGGAACGAGTGTTAAATACACACTGATGTAGCAAGCACACAATCTGGGACTTCCCTTCTTGTCACTCGTTATGTGAAACGTCACTCATTAAGGGAGTAATTTTTTTACAATTTGTTTTGCTCGTTATGCAAATTACTCGTTATGAGAGGTGCTCGTTAAGCGAGGTTCCACTGTACCTGTATGAACGTCTTGTCCCTCACATACATACAGTATGACCTGCCCCTCACATCTTCCTTGAATTCATCATGCTAATAATACAGAAGACATTAGGCCCCCACAATGTGCATACCCATTCTTAGGAAACTGAGAAAACAGAAATGACTTTTAACAGAAGCTTGTAGCAAAGTATTCAGTTCACTGACAATGTAAAAGCAGGCACCAAGACTGTAAAATTATTTTCTGGGAGCAGAAGAACAGAAGACTCACCATCATTTGTTTTACAGCAGGAAATATTTCCTCAGCTCTCTGTACTACAATTTTTGGCACTCCTGCTGCAACGGACTGCAGAATCTTTTGTGAGCCTGAAACTTGATCATCACACATGACGGACTGTGGGTTGTGTCAGAAAGCGGCTTACAAGAATCCTGGTGATACAGACATGAAGTTCTGACGTGTGTACCACTACATGACTTGGATTATGTGCACAAGTTCTGAAAGGGAACATACTCTTCATGAATGGCGTTAAAACATTCATATGACATAAAATCAATACAAAGTCCGTCGAGTGTAACAATGTTTTTTAGGTCACTTCTTTCTCACTCTTGCCTTACATGTTTCGGTTTTAGTAAAACCATCTTCAGAGGCACATGGTACTAACAAGAAAACACTGGCGTTGTTTAACTGTACACAGTATATATGCTGTGTGGGCACTGCTACAAATGTCGATGTGTAAAAGCACAACACTAGCTTGGAGTACTGAATGCACGTACAGAATGCACGTTCAACCTTCGCATTCCATCCAAAGTTGCCCTCGCGTTAAAACATCACTATTAAAATATTTAAAAAATATTTAAAAGTTTAAGACTTTTGAAGTAAAATATAAAAATGTTAGGCTGCTTCTTAATTTATCCCGATGTTGGGAGATGTCTTGAGGTTGTATTGGCT